TCTCCTAATTGATTCAAAGCATCTCTATGAGGAATGTTTAGCAGCTGCATGCATATCATGGAGATGCTGAACGTCAATGCTGCACATTTTGCAGCAGTGACCCAGGAACCACCTCTAGTGGCCTTCTGAGTGACTGCACCTACAGGTTTTCCTAAACAGTAAACAGTAATCTAGAAATATAGAGCGAGGCCCCCTAAGGATAAATCTCCACTAGGGCTTAATCCTGGTAAATATATACACTATACATTAAAAAACAAATTCTCATTTCCACAAAACTTAAATAAACAAAAAGATAACAAAGGAAAAAGAAAAATGCTCAAAGCGCGTTTCGGTGCTATAGTAATGCACCTTCATCCTATACTCTCCCCCCCTTCTTTTTCAGGAGTACATATGGAGCTACTCTAGTGCATATTTTAGTGCTCATATAGTTCATTTATACTTGAACATTTAGTTCAAGTATTAATGGGGTTGTTACTCTCGTAACTATTGGTTACTTTCTGTAACTTTGTACTAGTGGAAACTTTGTTTCAATTGTGTCTAAATGATGGTAAGGCACTATGGTTTCTGGAGAGACCAATTAGAAGAGAATTGCAGTAGTTAATGCAAGAACAAGTTCCTTAATAACATCCTGTGATAAAAAGGGGCAGATCCAGGCAATGTATTTAACGTGGAATTGATGACAGGGGCTAGATTCGAGGTATAAAGGAGAGTTCTGAAATAAAGATAACACAAAGGCATCGATCTTGCAAGGATGGACTAATGTGCATACCATCAGCTTGCAGGGAGAGTGACAGTGGACAATTAGTATTATAAACAGGGAAGATAAGCTCGGGTTTGAAAAGATTGAGTTTTAGAAAGCTGCAAGACATCCCATAGGAGATGAAAAGAGGAAACTGATGATGCCTTGTAGGACAGCCGGAGGGAGATCTGGGGGAGAGGCCCTCTGAGTGTCATCAGCATAAAGGTGGTAGTGGAATACAACAAAATAATTAATCTGTTTGCTAAGAGAGTAAGTATAAAGAAAAAAACAGAAATTGACCAAGGACTGAGCCATGGTCAATTCTATACGGAGACAGGATGAGGGGAGTAGGTGTTACCAGAAAAGAAGACATTTGTCAGGAATATAATAACCCACAAGGTTATGTCAAACAAATGTAATTACATTCCATGAAGAAGTAAGAAAATCATAGAACAAGGTGTTGCAGTGGATGTGATCTTATTGGATTTCGCCAAGTGCTTGATGCAGTTCCACACAATAGATTAGTGTTCAAACTAAAAGAAATTGGTCTGAGTACACATTCTCATTCTTAGGTAGAACACTGTCTTAAAGATAGAGTACAGAGAGTTGTCATAAATGGTAAATTTTCAAGCTGGACAAAAGTGGTAAGTGGTTCTGATAAAACAGGGATCTGATCTATGTTTATTTTATTTTTAACCAGCAGTTGCTAATGCCAGTAAGGAATCATCACATATAAAAAGGAGCATTCATTCTCATACAACAAAATAATTTTGTCTCATTATAAATCAATGGTAAAACCACACCTTGAATTTTTTAGTACAGCAACTTTGGGCACCTGTACTAAAGAAGGATATTATGGCAATGGCAGAGGTGCAGAGACAAGGTACAATATTAATAAAAGGAATAGAACATTTTAGTTATAAGAAAGGTTAACAAATGCAAATATGTTTAGTTTATAAAAGCTGTATCTCAGTGGGAATATATTATTATACAAATAGATTTGGGGTTAATACAAACTATTGTCTGGAAATATATTCATAAGCAGGACTATATACAGGACACAATGTCACACATTTAAACTGTGAGTCTAAGGTGCAGGAAAGGGTTTTTTACAGTAAGAACAATAAGGATGTGGAGTTCTCTGCCTGATGAGGTGGTTTTATCACAGTCTGTACAGATGTTTAAACAGCAATTGGATGAATAATGAAAAAAAAAAAACGTAATATTCATGGATATAATTTTTAATATGTGTGCTTCTTGATCCAAGGACAGATGTGACCATTCTGTGATCATAAATAGAGTTGAGCGGACACCTGGATGTTCGGGTCCGGCGGGTTCGACCGAACTTTGAAAAAAAGTCCGGGTTAGGGATCGAACTTGACCCCAAGTCCGAACCCCATTGAAGTCAATGGGGACCCAAACTTTTGGGCACTAAAATGCCTCTAAAAAAGTCCTGGAAAGGGCTAGAGGGCTGCAAAAGGAAGTAAAATGGGAGTAAGAGTAGGAGAAATGCCCTGCAAACAAATGTGGATAGGGAAATCACTTAAAATACCTATAAATTAAAAATACAACTGAGCCATAAAATAGCACTAGATGGAATTTTTGATTTTAGCTTTGGTAGAACATAAAGCATGGCTGTCAGGAGGATCACCAGAATTATCCATTTGAGAGAGGGTTGGAGTGCAGGGTATTCTCTTTCATTGTTCAAACTGAGCACAACTCCTGGAGAAAAGGCCTTCACAAGCCTCTGCTATTGTGTACATAGTTTATACTAAGCGACCCATGGGTTGAGGAGGCGATGACTGTGGCAGTGTAGGTGGAAGCGGACATGGAGGAGGAGGAGGTAGCCAACACTGTTTTATATTTGTTTGCTTTTTATTTTTTTTATTTAATTTTTTTTTTAATTGGGGTAGCCCCCAAAATATTGGGACATATAAAAAAAGAAAACAAATAATAAGTGCACTTGAGTATAACAATGGCTGGGTGAGGCCGGTATAAATGTCTATTCTGCACAAGGTACAGACAAGTCTGGTGGGATCCATGCCTGGTTCATTTTTATAAATGTGAGCTTGTCCACGTTGGCTGTGGACTGGCGGCTGCGCTTGTCTGTGATAACGCCCTCTGCCGTGCTAAACACACATTCAGACAAGACACTGGCTGTAGGGCAGGCCAGCACCTCCAAGGCATAAAGGGCAAGCTCAGGCCATGTGCCCAATTTGGAGACCCAGAAGATGAATGGGGCAGACCCATCAGTCAGTACGTGTAGGCGTGTGCATACGTACTGTTCCACCATGTTGCTAAAATGCTGCCTCCTGCTAAGACGTTCCATATCAGATGGTTGTGCTGGTTGTTGTGGCGTGCTGACAAAGCTTTTCCACATTTCGGCCATGCTAACCCTGCCTTCTGAGGTGCTGGTGGTGCCCCAGCTGTGTTGACGACCTCTTCGCCTTGTTCTTCCACTGAGCCCCCAGTGTCAATTAGGAATGCCTTCAGCAGCGCGTCCACCAGCGTGCACTTGAAGTCGTGCATCTTCCGATCACGCTCCAGTGAGGGAATTAAGGACGGCACATTGTCCTTGTAATGGGGATCCAGCAGGGTGGCCACCCAGTAATCAGCCTAAGTCATATACCACCGGGGGCGCCACAATCACAAACATGTGAATATATTTACCACATAGTAATCATGAATATTCATGTAGAGAGATAAAAACAGAGAATATATATAGTGAAGTATTTAATAACAAATCAAACAAAATAGTAAAAGGCAAGTACACTCACAAATGTAGTTGCACAACAAGGACATATGTCTTAGTTGTGCTGAAAAGCTTGTCAGCCCTTTCCTGGGCTAAAGTCCCCTCTTGCAATAGGATCCCAGTTTCCAAAGTTCTAAAGGCTTCTAATAGTAGTTCACTCAGGGCTGGATGTGATCCAAGAGCTGTAGGGACACTGGCAGGCTTCAAATCGCTCGACGCGTTTTGTCCAATCGACTTTCTCAAGAGCTGTGTATTTCTTTTTCTTCCGGCTTTAAATAGTTGAAACCGCGCGGCTTTCATTATTGCGCGCATGCGCATTACGGTAAAACTTTACCGCGCTATTTCGGGGTGATCAGCCTAAGACAGAATGTAGGCGACTCGGCAGTCGTTGCGCAGGGACTGCAGCTTGTAGGCGCTCATGTGTGCCAGGCTACCCAGAGGCAAGGACAAGCCGTCCTCTGTGGGAGGTGTATCGTCTGTGTCCTCCGTATCCCCCCAGCCACGCTCCAGTGATGCCCACAAGCTGCGTTGGGTGCCACCCTGCAGTGAACATGGTTCCTCCTCCTCATCCTCCAGAACTGTGCTCTGGTTGGACAATTGTGTACCTGGCCTATGCTGGTGCAGTAACCCACCCTTCAAGCCACTTGTGAATGACTGGCCTAATAACCGTGGAAATGACCCCTCTTCCTCCTTCTCTTCCTCCTGTGCCACATCCTCTTCCATCATCACCCGAAGCGTTTTTCCAAGCACAATAGTAAGGCTGAGAACGGCATCATCGGCACTGACCATGTTGGTGGAGTACTCGAAACAGTGCAAAATGGCACACATTGGTGGTGAAGTGGTGCTGTTTCGCAGAGCGACTGACCCGTGCGTGCTGCATCTGAAACTCCACTATCGCCTGCTGCTGCTCGCACAGTCTCTCCAGCATGTGCAAGGTGGCGTCTCTCCAGCGTTGTGGGCACGTCGCATATGTGGCGGTGAGCGGGAAGGCCGAAGTTACGCTGCAGCGCAGACATGCGAGCAGCAGCAGGGTGAGAACACCGAAAGCCCGCACAGACAGCCTGCCATTTCTGCAGAAGCTCTGACATATCTGGGTAATTTTTCAGGAATTTCTGCACCACAAAATTCAGCACATGCGCCAGGCAATGGATGTGCGTCAAACCGGCTAGGCCCAGAGTTGCTACGAGATTTCGCCAATTTTCGCACCAGGCCGGGCTTGGGGCTCAGTGGCAACAACCACTCATTGGTCTGTTGTTCCATGCCTGTCCACAGCTCCTGCGCGGTGTGGGGTTTTTCCCGCAAACGTATGAGTTTTAAAACAGCCTGCTGTTGTTTCCCCCTGGCTGTGCTGAAGTTGGTGGTGAAGGTGTTCAGCTGTCTGGATGAGGTGGTAGTAGAGGAGGAGGAAGCAGAGTAGGAGGAGGAGGCAACAGGAGGCAATGCCCTGCAATCCTCGGTGGCCGAAGGACACGTGCCAAACTGCGAACCGCCTCAGGCTGAGCCGCCACTACATTTGCCTGCATTTGACTGCATAATTTATGGTAGTGGGGGACTGCGTTTGCGCTTTCCCCTGTCTTTGCTTGTTTGACAAAAATAGAAAAGTTCACCAATTCTGAAGAGGGTCTCTGCTAAAGCGCTAATTTCAGCCACGTCTCCCGTCCCGCATCAAGCAGGCAGCGACTCTCTCTTCCTAGGCTTCATCAGTTTTCTTCTGTATCTTTTCTGGAGGCCAGTTTTAAGCCTCCCACCTTTTTTTATGGCTTTTCTGCTCATCTTTTCATCCTGTGTTCTTTCGATTATTGTATGCTTCAATGCAATGGAAGAAATAAAAAATTGGAGACCTATATTACGTCTTCCCACAGAACGTAACGTTTGATTGAATTTTTGGGAAAAAAATATTTTCTGGATCAAGGCAGGGAATTGCCGCTTGAGACAATCAGACCAAACCTTAGGAATAGCTGGGTGGTCGCTAGCACTTACTAATGAACACCATGGAATTTTGAAAAAGCCACCACAAATGTTCTTTCAGCCCTGTTGAGTGTGGATGAAGAGAAGACAGGTGCTAGGCTAGGGTCATTCCTATCGATGGAGTCATGAAATGTGTGACTTTGGGGACCAACGTAGACCAGCGGATTGTGTACTCTGCCTAATGGCTGCTGTAGTAGAATCTTGGCAATTGTACAAGGTTTGCTGCAAGATATGGTTGCCCTCACTCTCTGTTATAGGTTGGAACCATTCCAAGATGCCATATAAGAAGACAGAGGAATTTGTTGGGGTTTAAGATTCCCTGTAGTAGGAGGCGGGCCTAATAAGAATATTGCCTCCCACAATCCTTTGCAATGGCTTATGGGCATGAACTTTTTCTCACCGCTGTCTTAAAGTGTCCTTACGTGGTAGCGCTTAAAAGCTGGCCCACTTGAACAGTTAGCTTTGCGCAGTGGCAGTATCGTAGCCCATAAGGTCAATCCGAGGCGTGATTATTGCTAATTGAAAACTTTACCCAATACCCCGCCATGATGACTTGAAATACAGTCAGCATTGGCAATTTTTGACAGGCTCTGAGGAGACTGAAAGATTGGTTTAATAAAAGTTTACGGCGACCCGTGTCTAGGGCGTGTCTTACGTCACTCCCGTTTCTTCTTGAGCTCTGTTGCACCATTCTTTCCGCTGGCTTCTTAGCATTTCCCTTTTACCTTTCTCTCCCACTGAATCCAATTGTTTCCGGCAGCACACTATTCTCACTCCATGCTATGAATTCCCATCCTTCGGCTCATTGGCCTAGCATTTGCCTTTATGCAAATTGCTTCTTCACACCCTCAATCCAGCTGAATTATTCACACCTAACCACCTGAAGGCACTAAAATTACTGCTAGCTAAGGAAAACAACCATCAGCCACGAGGCTTGCTAATCTTTTGTAGCCTTCTATCATTTGGATTATTTATTTGCTCTTCTTCTTTTTTTTTTTAATCTTGCTTTATTATTTCACCACAGCCTAAAGGAAAGGCTTCCCAGCGGGCGTGCCTTTGAATGTACCTTTAATGTCATACTTACCTGGCAGGGGAGCAATAGCCATGATCCCTAAGGTGGCTCTCCCAGAATGAGGCCGGTTCATTGCACTCCGTACCAGTTGACCTCTGCGATTTCCTCAAATGTGGGAAACTCGACTGCATAATTTATGGTAGTGGGGGACTGCGTTCGCGCTTTCCCCTGTCTTTGCTTGTTTGACAAAAATAGAAAAGTTCACTAATTCTGAAGAGGGTCTCCCACGTCTCTGCTAAAGCGCTAATTTCAGCCACGCCACCCGTCCCGCATCAAGCAGGCAGCGACTCTCGCTTCCTAGGCTTCATCATTTTTCTTCTGTATCTTTTCTGGAGGCCAGTTTTAAGCCTCCCACCTTTTTTTATGGCTTTTCTGCTCATCTTTTCATCCTGTGTTCTTTCGATTATTGTATGCTTCAATGCAATGGAAGAAATAAAAAATTGGAGACCTATATTACGTCTTCCCACAGAACGTAACGTTTGATTGAATTTTTGGGAAAAAAATATTTTCTGGATCAAGGCAGTGAATTGCCGCTTGAGACAATCAGACCAAACCTTAGGAATAGCTGGGTGGTCGCTAGCACTTACTAATGAACACCATGGAATTTTGAAAAAGCCACCACAAATGTTCTTTCAGCCCTGTTGAGTGTGGATGAAGAGAAGACAGGTGCTAGGCTAGGGTCATTCCTATCGATGGAGTCATGAAATGTGTGACTTTGGGGACCAACGTAGACCAGCGGATTGTGTACTCTGCCTAATGGCTGCTGTAGTAGAATCTTGGCAAAACTGTTTCCAAAGAGAGAAAAAAAATTGTACAAGGTTTGCTGCAAGATATGGTTGCCCTCACTCTCTGTTATAGGTTTGGAACCATTCCAAGATGCCATATAAGAAGACAGAGGAATTTGTTGGGGTTTAAGATTCCCTGTAGTAGGAGGCGGGCCTAATTAGAATATTGCCTCCCACAATCCTTTGCAATGGCTTATGGGCATGAACTTTTTCTCACCGCTGTCTTAAAGTGTCCTTACGTGGTAGCGCTTAAAAGCTGGCCCACTTGAACAGTTAGCTTTGCGCAGTGGCAGTATCGTAGCCCATGAGGTCAATCCGAGGCGTGATTATTGCTAATTGAAAACTTTACCCAATACCCCGCCATGATGACTTGAAATACAGTCAGCATTGGCAATTTTTGACAGGCTCTGAGGAGACTGAAAGATTGGTTTAATAAAAGTTTACGGAGACACGTGTCTAGGGCGTGTCTTACGTCACTCCCGTTTCTTCTTGAGCTCTGTTGCACCATTCTTTCCGCTGGCTTCTTAGCATTTCCCTTTTACCTTTCTCTCCCACTGAATCCAATTGTTTCCGGCAGCACACTATTCTCACTCCATGCTATGAATTCCCATCCTTCGGCTCATTGGCCTAGCATTTGCCTTTATGCAAATTGCTTCTTCACACCCTCAATCCAGCTGAATTATTCACACCTAACCACCTGAAGGCACTAAAATTACTGCTAGCTAAGGAAAACAACCATCAGTCACGAGGCTTGCTAATCTTTTGTAGCCTTCTATCATTTGGATTATTTATTTGCTGCTCTTCTTTTTTTTTTTTTAATCTTGCTGGAGTCATGAAATGTGTGACTTTGGGGATCAACGTAGACCAGCGGATTGTGTACTCTGCCTAATGGCTGCTGTAGTAGAATCTTGGCAAAACTGTTTCCAAAGAGAGAAAAAAAATTGTACAAGGTTTGCTGCAAGATATGGTCACTCTCTGTTATAGGTTTGGAACCATTCCAAGATGCCATATAAGAAGACCGAGGAATTTGTTGGGGTTTAAGCTTCCCTGTAGGAGGAGGCGGGCCTAATTAGAATATTGCCTCCCACAATCCTTTGCAATGGCTTATGGTCATGAACTTTTTCTCACCGCTGTCTTAAAGTGTCCTTATGTGGTAGCTCTTAAAAGCTGGCCCACTTGAACAGTTAGCTTTGTGCAGTGGCAGGAGCTATATTGCTATATAATGAATGTACTCTATGTGTTCTGGGCTCAGATTTGTTGTGGAACGTTAGTCCATCTGAGACCCGATCGGTCAGTGAATAGAGGCCTCTTACTTCCTGAAGACTTGTGTCCGTATGTCTATGTGTGGCTTCTGCGGTTTGTTCCTGTTATTCCTGCGGTAAAATTTTTGGTGCATTGGGTCGGGGAAACTCATCGCACGGAAGCTGGCACAGAGATCTGAGATGGCAGCACCCCTGGACTTCTGCGTGGACCTCCTTTCGTCTCGGCGCCACTGGCCTTTTGTCCAGGAGATCATCGGCTTCTGTGCAGTGAGTACCGGGGTACCCCGTCGATGAGTGTGAAGCCCAGGTCCAGGAACGAAGAGGTAAGATTAATACCATTAGAACGGTAGGCTCACAAGGGGTTTGTATTTGGAATTGGTTTGGTTGTTTGTAATCTGCCCCTTCCCACTGGAAGGAAGAAGCGAATGCGCACCGCTTATGTTGACATTAGACACTCTGTAGTCAGCCCGTCTAAAACAGGTGGTTTGGGTCATACTGAATCTTGGTGTAAATAGTTCATGTCGGACACCGGTGTCCTGTCTTGACTAGTGTATCTAGGTGTAAATTTTGGTCGCTAGGTCGGGGGGACCGGGAGACTAAGCACATTCTGGTGTACATTCCGTCTGCTAGATCTCAACCTATCTTGGCTAAGTGGGAGACGTGTAAATTCAACCACTAGACTATTGATAGAGTAAATAGACTAAATGAGTCTTGTTGTAAATTCCGCTCATTAGTTCGCTATATGTGTTGCTTGGGCAGCGTAGACTTACCGAATCCTGGTGTAAATAGTTCGATAGTTTTCAAGGTGCTGGCCAATTAGAATAGTTGGGATTATTGTAAATATTGTTAGATATACTGGAGTTGGTGAACTGGTGAATTGGTTAAATTGTATGTCCTGCTAGAAAGCTTGAGCTCTGCCATCTAGTGGGAGTGTAAATTGTGTGTATAGTGTAAAATAGCGCACAGTACCATAACCACTGACATGTACCATAACTACTGATGTAATATGAAAAATACTAAAATTACTGTTTAACCTTGCATGTGTACTAACTGATATTGTAACTTTAAAACCATAATTGTCTAGACTGTACAATAGTTACTAACCCAATACCATAATCACTGACTGTAGAGACAAAATTGTTGAAATGTTATGTGATCGATTAGTTTATGTGGATTAATAGTGTGGGTACTTGTATGATTTGAATAATAGTTACATTGATAAGTGTATAGCCTTTGGTGGGTTTTTGATTTAATTTCGTGTGTGCGACGTCGTGATATTATTGAGCGTGTGAGGATCCTGTGCGTGTGTGTACGTGTATGTTTGGGCCTAGTAACCGTGCCACGTGGTGCTGTTGCTTAGGTAACTGGTGTGACTGTTGAAACTGTTTGTATATTTGTACTGCTTTGAATCAGACGCTCTGTTGAAATCATGGGTGCTTCTGATTCACAAACGGTCCTTTGTCTTGTATGTTTTTAAAAAAAACAA